CTGACCTATACAGAAACTGGAAACTTTAGTTGTGAGTTTAGTACATTATTGTATTTGATCTGATTTCTTAAACGTAGAGAAGTGAGCTATGGCTTTTTCCTTTTAATATTTGGAAATCAAGTGATGTGACTAATCACAAAATATCTGTTAATCAGCAATAATCACCACTTTTTCATTTTTCATTAATGTCAGTTATCCCCAGTGAGCCCCCATGATCAACCTGAAAATATACTTTGATATCAAAGATGTGGAAATATCTTTCCAGTTGAACGTTTTCCAAGTTTATTTTAATCAAAATGGTCTTAATAAGGTTTTGGGCTGAGTTCACTATCAGTGTTTTTAACTATGTTTGTAGAGTTGTGTCATCAGCATAACAAAAATTATTACTGTTGTTTCTTTCAGTCTTTACTCTGATTTTTGATTCTTCAAGTTGCAGCTTCCTCGTGATTACTTTGACATACAGGTTTATCTTACATAATCACTTCAACATAAAATAAGAAAGTATAATGAATACAACCTTGCCACATTCCTTTCTCTACCTTAAATGAAATGTGGTGTTTGCACAATGGCTTCCTGATTTCTGTACAGAATTGCATGAACTTGAGCAAATGTGTTAGCACTTTCAGTCCTTCTGGGGCTCTGGACAGCTTGTCATGATCATTACATTACAAATTGCCACATTACAAAAAAGATGTTGAAATTTGGAAAAGGGACAAAGAACAACTAAGATTATTAAACACTAGAGACTAAAACATATGAAGAATGCTTGTAGGATTTGGGTATGGCTAGTCTAGAGAAAAGAAAGACTAAGGGTGACATGATAGCAGTATTCCAGTATTTGAGGGGCTACCAGAAAGATGAGGGGGTAAACTTGTTTTCCAAAGCACCTGAAGACAAGACAAGAAACAATGGATGGAAACTAATCAAGGAGAGAAGCAACCTGGAATTAAGGAGAAACTTCTTAACAGTGACAACAATTAACCAGTGGAACTGCTTGCCTTCAGAAGTTGTGAGTGCTTCATCAATGGAGGCTTTTAAGATAAGATTGGACAGACACTTATTTGAAATGGTATAGGGTCTCCCCTTAAGCAGGGGGTTGAACTATAAGACCTCCAAGGTCCCTTCCAGCTTTATTCTGATTGATTGATCAACACAATTGAAGGCTTTCCTGTAGTTAATAAAGCAGATGTGGCTATTCTTTTGATATTCTTGAGATTTTTCCATGAACTAGCATAGATTTGCAATATGCTCATGGGTGCTCATTTGCTGTTCATACTCTGTGCATTGGTGTATAGACATTTGAGTCCTTTACGACTAACCCTGTGTTTGCTTTCTACATAACCTGCATAGTGCCTGAGTTCCCCTATTTTCTTACAACCTGATTGATTAGTGCACTTTGTGTGGCACTCGCTATTATAAGCTTGATTTTGCTTGAGAGCAATGTTGATATTCTTTTCCACACACACATCTATGTTACATGCACTGATAACACTATAAATTTTAGATTGCCGGGGACAGGGATGTTCTGTATCAAATAACTCACTGTCCCCGTTGTTTAAATATTTCTCCAGAAAATCTGTGAATTTATTGACAAGTAACTCAGTCCCTTTCATCTCTTTTATACACTTTTTCATTGGACCAACTGGAGACATTATGACTAATATAACCAAAGCCTTCCCCTTCCCCTTCAAGTAGCACCTAGAAGACACTTGATCTTTTCTTTAAAGACATTTCATTTCTCATCCAAGAAGCTACTTCGGCTCTGACTGGATGGTGGGGAACAGAAGGATTTATATTCCTTGCAGATAGCTAGTCATTCGTATTCTTTTAGAGAGTCGTTGAGGCCATGTGGAGGTTTATCTGTGTCCTCAGGGTCAGCTGAGTTGTGCAAATGGGTGTGGAGCCTTCATGGAATTGCTGAAAGGATTGTGTTGTGTTTGAATCTTTTGACTTGAGCATATCCATTTCTGGTATGGCCCTTCATGTAGCCCTCTTCTGTTCACACCATTGGTCACAGAAAACTTGGTTGTCTTTCCTTGCTGTTCTTTTAAAACAGCCCAGCCAAAGAACCGCCAAGACCACCCCCACCAACACTGACAGGGCAAACTACTAGAATATAAATTGAGACCAAACCCCACTCCTGACTAGCAATGACAATGTTACTTAATTTGTGTAATAAAACATCTGCAAGAAATCAGGGAGCACCAAGGGCCCTGCGTACTTCATTAATAAATAATATCATGTGGACTGAATATTAAGAACTTTTCTCCCATCAAATGCACAGGTATAGTATAGGGGGTACCTTGCTCAATAGTAGCAACTGTGAGAGGGACCTCGGAGTCCTAGTGGACAATCACTTAAATATGAACCAGAAGTGTGCTGCAGCTGCTAAAAAGGCCAACACAGTGCTAGGCTGCATTAACAGAGGGATAGAATCAAGATCACGTGAAGTGTTAATACCACTTTACAAGGCCTTGGAAAGGCCACACTTAAAATACTGCATCCAGTTTTGGTCACCACGATATAAAAAAGATGTTGAGATTCTAGAAAGAGTACAGAGAAGAGCAACAAAGATGATTAGGGGACTGGAGGCTAAAACATATAAGGAACGGTGGCTGGAATTGGGTATGTCTAGTTTAATGAAGAGAAGGACAAGGGGGGACATGATAGCAGCGTTCCAATATCTCAGGGGCTGCCACAAAGAAGAGGGAGTCAAGCTGTTCTCCAAGGCGCCTGAAGGCAGGACAAGAAGCAACGGATGGAAACTAATCAAGGAGAGAAGCAACCTAGAACTAAGGAGAAACTTCCTGACAGTTAGAACAATTAACCAGTGGAACAACCTGCCCCCAGAAGTGGTGAATGCTCCAACACTGGAAGTTTTTAAGAAGAAACTGGACAGCCATTTGTCTGAAATGGTATAGGGGTTTCTGCCTGAGCAGGGGGTTGGACTAGATGACCTCCAAAGTCCCTTCCAACTTTTATTATTATTATTATTATTATTATTATTATTATTATTATTATTATTATTATTATTATTATTATTATTATTATTATTATTATCATCATCATCATCATCATCATCATCATCATCATCATCATCATCATCATCATCATCATCATCATCTCTGCTATTATTTATCCTGTCAGATTATTATGAGGATAGATGGATGTATTACTGGAATCATTAGAAAACTGGTCATTCTTGGCTTAGAAGAAGGAAGACAACATTGTATGATATATGTTTCATGAACTTTCAAGAATACTTAGCATTAGGGAGAGACCCAACCCTGAAACCTCCCCACAGAGCAGTGCCCTCAGGTCCAACTTCTCATCTCCCACCACCCCAGAATGAAAGTACAGTGCAGAGCAGGGTCTCCAATCCTAGGTAGCCCAGTAAGATAAATTCTTGATGGCAAGAACTCTTTATGGCTAAGGAGAGGGTGATGTAAAACTGGACATTATTATTTCTTAGGACAAGATTTGGTCTGGTATGGTGATGATTGTCACTCAAGAAAAGTTAACCCCTCCTGGTTCAAAGGGCGGGGACTGAAGAATGGTGTATAACAGAATGGTGCTCTGGATTCTGTCCCTAGAAAATCCTCCATCGGTCAAAGTGATTGGTTTTGAAATAACTAATTTAAAATATTGGTGACCTACTCAAATAAGAAGGAGATTGGGCGGACTACAGCTAAGCCATAAAGGAAAGAAGAAAGTGTGTGATTATTAAAAAACATCTAGGTACATCATAGCTGAAACACATTTTCATTGACCAGTTGGGGGAACACCACTTAGATAGAGGCCATGTGAAGCAGTTCAAGGAAGTTTCAGAGAATTTCTAAAACTGGAAGAGTTTGGTGGCGACAGCAAAAACAATCAATCTCAAAGAGATCTCAGAGGTTTAAAACAGTTTGCTCCAATGATATCCTACATTCAGGGGATCGAACTACTAGTAGGTGACCTCCAACTTCTCTTCCAACTCTAAAGTTGCATCACTCTCCAATTACAGTTGCCCAATTCACAGTCAGAGATACACAATTGTGGCTTCAGAAATAGGGTTTTTTTTTCCTCTTGTCAAAATGCCATGGACTCCAAAGTTATGGGGATAATGTGGACATTTCTCTCTCTCAGGATTCAGAAAACACTAGTAATTCTTACATCATCTCAGTAGATTTCCAGATATGAACCCTTCCTGACCATAAAGAGGTTTGTGTCTTGTCAAAACATGTTTACTTAGCATGCTCTGAATAATATAGCTGGGTCCCTTTAGAGTTGGAGCTTAGATGAATGCTTATCCTGAAGATTTAAAGTGTCACATGATTCCTCTGAAATCACCAGAGCATCACTTTTCCTGCAACATTCTCTGTTTGATCTAGAAGAAGGTCTCTTTCTGTGGCCAATGATTTGGGTTTTAGTCTTGCTATGGACCTTGCCTGCAGCTGTCCAGATGGACTTGAGACCAAACTGCTTCTGGAGGAGACCTTTCCAAGAACAGAAAGACTTTTACAGACCTGGAGATCTCATCATCGGTGGAAATCTACCTCTCTCCCTTATTATAGTTCTACAGCTCCTACATGAGCCACCTGATGATTGGGATGTCCTTTCTCAGTGAGTGTTTCCTTGATTGTCTTTTTTCTCAGGGCAATGTGAAAAGGGTAGTCTTGAAGATTTAAATCCCACCCAGCATTCCTTATTAAGACATATTAATTCTATTTGATGAATCAATCTCCCTTCTAATTCCCTTCTCAAGCCCTCTGACTCTTCAGTGGTGAAGAACAGCTTATTACACTGAATAAAGAGTCAGCCTTTCCTTCATGTCCCTGAAGGCAACGTACACTTTGCAGAGAAAACAATTTGGGCTGAACATGGGGAGAAATAATGCTAGAGTCCTCTGGCTTATAACTAGACTAAATGTTCCCATCTCATTACTCTGATGACTTGTAATACCATGTTTCATGATTTTATTTCATTCTACATAGTAGAGGTGTTTCTTTTGTCCCATCATGTCTGGCTTCCCACTACTCTCCTATCAATACCTGGAGACTTCTACATCAGTGGAACGACCTTCTTTAAGACTCTCCAGGAGAGCTCAGTAAGACGACATCTAGAATACTGCAACCAGTTTTGGTCACCATAGTATAAAAAAGATGTTGAGACTCTAGAAAAAGTGCAGAGAAGAGCAATAAAGATGATTAGGGGACTGGAGGCTAAAACATATGGTTACAGGAAGAAGGACCAGGGGAGACACTCCAGTTCATATTTAAAGATACTGAAAGGACACTTTCTAACTAAGGGCCATCCACATGTATCAGCTTAATCATTTCTAGCCATCAAAAATCAACCTGGTCAGACTTTCAGTTTGATTCAGTTTAATCTAATTTATTGGATATATAAATCCAACACATTCAAAAGGACTCTGATAACGTATTAGGTGAAGGGGACCAGATTGGGAAAAATGTTTGAGAATATAAGGCAGAAATTGGCAGCCTATAAAATTACCATGACTGGGTATAATAAAGGACATAGTTTTATCAAGATAATGAGCCATTTTCCTTAACAGGATGAAAGGTTCATCTTGAAAAAAGTCAGTACTGACTTGAACTGAGTTTATGCTGTAAATTATAACTTGCACATTGATGTGATGCTGAGACAGGGAAAGGAGCGTTTGTCATACACTGTTGGCTATAGTAACAGTATCAATATTGATTGACAGTAACCCTGTTTCTGAGAGCAGTAAAATCACCTGTCGACTGCTATCTCAGGCTTGCTTGTACTTCACTGATATGCAGTGACAGTCTACCATGAGCTATGGGAAAGGGGAACAAAGGGCAGAGTGCTTTGGAAACTGAAAGTAGATGCTCTGCCATCTTGAGAAGCTGCTTCAAGGTCACCCAGCTGGAAGAAGGAGGGAGCAACATACCAGAGCATGCTTGAACTGACCGTTAGGAAAAGAGCTTGCAAGATTTTAATTGGTTACCTTGGGGTGGGAAATGAAAGACAGTTAAGAAGGGGAAAGGGGGAGAATGTATAATGTAGGGATTTGGGCATGTGAACCTCAGTTCTGGCTATGCATTACTGCAATACACTTAACCTCTAATAAAAATATACCTTTCTCAGCAAATGGAGTCAAGGATTGTTTCCTACAGAGGTTTAAGTTTCTGGCAGGTCTCACACAACTAATTTGTATTGATCTGTTTTATGATTAATTCTTAGAATTCTGATAATGCTTTCTTAATCAGATAAACATCTCCCTCCTGCTCCTGCCTAATATTTATCCTTTAACACTTGCAACAAAGTCCTGTTCCCAAGAACTACCAACATGTCCTGGCCTTGGCATTTTCCATCCAGGAGATCAACAAAGACCCTTGGCTTCTCCCCAACATCACTCTGGGCTTCCGCATCTATGAAGAGAACCAGCATGCAAGCATGGCCCAAGATGTCAGCCTGTCTCTGCTCTCCAGTCGTGGAAAAGTGTTACCTAACTATAAGTGTGACACACAGGACAGCCTTCTCTCTGTCCTTGGGGGTCTCAACTCTAGAATCTCATACCAGATGGCAACCGTGTTTGGCAAGTTCAAGATTTCTCAGGTACATGGACAGTCAACATGATGAAAGGGGAAATGCAGATGTAAGGCAGTAAGTTCTGCCTTGTGTGGTTACTGCCAACAACTTGCAGAGCCAATTCTGTGACCTGTAGAAAACATCTCATGAAGGTGCAAGGTTGTGGGGATGGGCAAGGCTTTTTTTGACATAGAACGCACCGGAACAGAGTTCCGGCACCTTTTTTTTGATGGATTTTCCAGAGTTGCGTTCTTTTCCTATTGTTTTCCTTCCTATCCTCGTTTGTTTTTGAAAATGCCCCACTAGTGGTACAATGCAAGTGGGGTCCATTCTGGCGCTGTCTGCCTCCTCTAGGAGGAGACATGAGGCACCGGAGCACCACAGCCAGAGTGTGGCTTGATTGGCTGGGTCGGACCATGTGGTGTGGAAGCTGATGGTGGTGGTGGGAGACACATAAACATGGAGGCCATGTTTCACAAGAGAGTGAGTCAGCCTTTTGCCTTCTCTTACAGAAGGTGGTGTGTGTGTGAGGTTAAAAAGAGGTGAAGCAAGAGAAAAGAAAGGCGGCTGGCGTGGAAGCTTGCCCTACAGTGAAACTTTGCTGTTTCAGTTCCTTGGGTAGTTCAAAGGCTGGGATGTCTACGAAAATCTCCTTTTAGTCTTTTATACTTTATATTCAAACTGCAGAGAGGAAGAATAAGAATAAAGCCAATGTCTTGTGATTTGGAGGTATTATTATTATTATTAATAATAATAAATATATATTAATTATGTAGACCTACAATATGAGGTTTAATCAGATCTATTTATTAAATTGGGTTTAACTTAAAGGTAAATTAAAAGTAATCTGTTCACTGACAAAGTTTCAACTTTAATTTGTTTCAAGTCAATATCCATATTAAACTCCAAATGTAAATTTTTCCACCTTGTTTGACAACTTCTTAAAAATAATTCAATCTTTTACAAGCAACCAAATTTTTGCTTTATTGGGCCAATTTCACTTTACATAGAAAGCTGACATTTCCACTCATTAAAATAAATGGGTATGCCAATGGTAAATGTCCCAAAAGATTAATAAAATGCCTTTTTGTAATTTAAAGCCACACAGTGCATGGTAACATTAATAGTATTAATTTACCTTGAACAAAATCCTAGTTTTTTAGATACACTAAAAAACTGAAGTTTTTTTTTCCAACTACAAAGGTAAACCTTGTAGGATAGGCAAGGCGGGTTGTATAACGTGTATGATGTCCGGCACCTTTATATATATATAAATACAGGAAGTTTTTCAGACAGACTGGTCTGATTGATTACACCTTGACATTTTAACTGCTATACTGCAGTTTTACTTTTTACAATATCTTTTGCCTTGCAGCCCCCCAACTAGGGGCGTTAAGCAGGCTCAAGTCGCAACTGCGAAACATTTAAATCCAAATTTCTTTTTCTGACAAAGAGTTAAAGAATTAAATTGGGAGACTAAGATGGCCATTTCGAGCTCGTTCTGCTCTCTTCAGTTAGCCACACCCTTTATAGGATTCGAACCTGGGCAGTTTACATATTAGGCAAGGTGTAATCAATCAGACTGGTCAAATACAAATGTCAAGGTGTAATCAATCAGACCGGTCTGTCTGAAAAACTTCCTGTATATACTCCCTTGACTCGGCTGGCAAAGAGGGGAGGAAAGCCTGTGGCTTGGTGGTTAAATCACTGCCTAGTATGTAAACTGCCCGGGTTTGAATCCCATAAAAGGTGTGGCTAACTGAAGAGAGCAGAACGAGCTCGAAATGGCCATCTTAGTCTCCCAATTTAATTATTTAACTCTTTGTCAGAAAAAGAAATTTGGATATATATATATATGGTTAATAATATCCGTAAAAACATGATTCCTGGGTATATCCATGTCAAAATGATAAAACAATCACGATCACCAGGAAAATTCAAAGTAGAAAAAGATTTTAATAAATACCGAGCTTTCGTCGGAGGCTTCCGACATCGTCAGGGTTTAAGGCCAGACTACGGGAGTGACTTATATAGCATTGGATAATGCCAGCATCCGGCTTCTGGACCTCGTCATCGGGCCCAGCTGACTGGGATATGTTACAAATGTGTCTTTAACATCAGTGTTAAACCCATTCTTCTTCCTCTTTTTCCTATATACAGTATCACCCATCCCCTCGTTACTTTTTCCAACAGTTCTTGGATCACCTTGGATCTCCTCCCCCCCTTTTTGGATGGTCACTATCTCCGTATTCCCCTTTCCCTCCTCCACAACACTCTCTTCCTTGAGGGCTCTCCTGTGTTGTACGTCCGTTTTTCTCTTTCCTCCCCCTCCTCCACCGTGCGTCTTGCTCCGACTACAATCAGCTCTTGTTACTCTGCTTTATATATATGTAAAGCACTGGGGATAGGGATCTAGAACAGGATATCCTGCTAATCTAGATGATCTGAAATTAGTAACAAAAAATACAGGTACCATTTTCCTTGCTTAACCTCTTCCTTTTCCTCCATCTCCACCTTCCCTTCAGCTAGGTTATCGCTGCTCAGACCCTGTTTTGAGCAATAAGAGCCAGTTCGCCACCTTCTATCAGATCGATCCTCAGTATCACCTCCAGAATGCAGCCATTGTCCAGCTCCTTCTCTATTTCCAATGGAACTGGATTGGGATTATTGTTCAGAAGTCCGAGAGCAGTGACCATTTCATCCGGATTTTTAACGCCACCCTTGCGCAGAATGACATTTGCATACAATTTGTGAAACAGATCTTGCCCCGATTCACAATGTTCCCTGAATTGCACAGCGATGAGATACGTTTGCTTCTGACCATTTTGAACAGTGATGCTCAGGTTGTGATTATCTCAGGGGATTCTAATGCACTACACAGACTTATAGTGTCCCTCTCCTTTTATGAAGAAGGGAACCAGGCTACAACTGAGAAGGTTTGGATCCTCACTACCCAATGGGAATTTTCAGCTATTGGCTATCACTACGAGTGGGGGAAACTGAAGTGTCTCCATGGTGCTTTGTCTTTGACAGTCCATACAAATCCTGTGCCTGGATTCAAGAATTATCTCTGGTCTTTGAATCCATATGAACCCCTCGGAGACATCTTTCTTCCTGAGTGGTGGGAAGTTGTATTTGAATGTCAGGTTTTGAAGGCAGGTCTAGCCTCACCTGATGGCCGAAGGGTTTGCACAGGGGAGGAGAAACTAGACACCCTCCCAGCCTCCGTCTTTGATGAAAAGATGACTGGTTTCAGTTACAGCATCTACAATGCTGCCTATTCTGTGGCACATGCATTACATGCTGTGTATACTTTGGAATCACAACGGGCATTGAAAAGGGACAGAAAGAAGCCACACCTTCAACTCTCTGTGAAGCCCTGGCAGGTAACTCTTCAAATCTTCAGATCCTGACAGTTAGAACAATTAACCAGTGGAACAACCTGCCTCCAGAATTGGTGAATGCTCCAACACTGGAAGTTTTTAAGAAGAAACTGGACAGCCATTTGTCCGAAATGGTCTAGGGTTTCCTGCCTGAGCAGGGGGTTGGACCAGATGACCTCCAAGGTCCCTTCCAACTTTTTTATTATTATTATTATTATTATTATTATTATTATTATTATTATTATTATTATTATTATTATTATTATTATTATTATTATTATTATTATTATTATTATTATTATTATTATTTTCAGATCTTCCTTTCTAGCCAAATAATCCTTCCTACTCTTGCCTACATCCATTTTGCACTGTTTTAGGATTTATAAACTTTTGCCTGTGATCTCCACTGTTTTGCCTTTTCTCTAACTACTTTCATCCCCTTTTATTTAAATTTTGTATCATGAAATTTACAAAAAAAAATTGTCAACAGAAGTTTCATAAGAGAAACAAGGAAATAAAGTATGAGAAACAAAATATATAGTGCAAAATTTATTTATTTAAATTTGCTTGCTGCAGGGCAAAAGTGAAATAAAAGCCTCATTTGAATGTGGGAGGAAAAAAAATCATGTCTCATAATTAATGGGTCCTGAAAACTACTGCTATATGTTGTCATTTTTAGATATAGAAAGTTACTCCCTAACTATTATTAGTGTATATAATAGTTTGTGGGGTGGTAAGTGTTTAAGGCAAAACTAGAATTTGTTTTATTTTTTGATGGATCTCTTTCCAAAATTGTGGAGCTTCAAAGTATCCAGAAAATGGTGTGTTGAGCAGTGGGGTATTTTTTTTTTCTCCTGCCAACAAACAACTGACTTTGCTGCCAAATCTGGCTGTTTGGCAGTATGCTTCCTGGCTTTCGAATGGGAGTAACATAGAATAACCAATGATGACCATTGGATGACTAGTACTTGCCTGGAAAGAAAATCTCACAGATCGTGATTCCCAATAAATACAGCTGGGGGGTCTGGTTTTCATCTTTTCCAGTCATCGTTTTTTTTTTAGGTGCGCCAAAGTTTTAGCATCACAGAATAACAGGCTTGGAAGGGACTTTGGAGATCTTCTAATCCAACTCCCACTTAATCAGGAGACCCTTTACCATTTTAGACAAATAGCTGTCCAGTCTCTTCATAAAAGTCTCCAATGATGAAACACCCACAACTTCTGAACACAAGTTGTTCCACTGGTTTATTGTTCTCACTGTCAAAAAATTTCTCCTTAGTTCTAGGTTGCTTCTTTCCTAAGTTAGTTTCCACCCATTGCTTCTTGTCTTGCCTTCTGGTCCTTTGGGGAAAAGGTTGAAGCCCTCTTCTTTGTGGCAGCCCCTCAAATATTGGAAAACTGCTTTCATGTCTCCCATAGTCTTTTTCATTAAACGTGACATACCCAGTTCCTGCAACCTTCTTCATATGTTTTAGCCTCCAGTCCTCTAATCATCTTTGTTGCTCTTCGCTACACTCTTTCTAGAGTCTCAACATCTTTTTCATATCATGGTGACCAAAACTGGATGCAGTATTCAGTATAAGTGTGGCTTTAGCAAGGAATTATAAAATGGCATTAACACTTCATGTGATTTTAATTCTGTCCCTCTGTTAATGCAGCCTAGGACTGCATTAGCTTTTTTTTGGCAGCTGTATCACTGCTGGCTCATATTTAAGTGAAATATTTTTTCTTGTGTTTTATATGTGTAGATGTAGTTGATTGGTCAGGCAGTTACAAATCTATCTGGTGGTGTTGCTTATCTATCCCATATTTTTCTAATTTAACAAGAAGTAGATTGTAATCTGTCAAATGCCTTACTGAAATCCAAGTATATTATGTTCACAGCATTTTTCTGGTCCACTAATTTAGTCACGTTGTCAAAGAGATAATGTTTGGCATGATCTGTTTTTGACAAACTCATTGGCTTCTGGTTATACAGTACATTTGCTTGCTTCTAGATATTCACAGATCTATTGCTTGATCATCTTTTCCAGGATCTTCCCAGGTATTGATGTCAGACTGATTCGTCTGTAGTTTCTTGGATCAGGTTTTTTTTCATTTTTTGAAGATGGGAACCACAACAGCTCTTTTCCAGTCCTCTGGTTGTTTTAGTGCTCCAAGATATTTGAAAGATATGGTTCAATCGTTCTGAGATCATATCTGCCAGTCCTTCAGAATTCTGGAATGTAATCTAACAGATCCTAGTGATTTGAACTCATGGTAAGAGAACACTCACACAGGTGTTCTCTTACCATTTTCTTGCCTATTTTAATTTGAATTCCTGGCTTGTCTTTTATGGTTCTGTTTTTGGTAGATTGGGCTTTTTTTTGTGAAGACAGATGCAAAGAAAAGTCTTAGTTCATTCTGAGCCTTAGCTTTCCTAAGTTTATTTTTGCAGATTTGGGCTATATGCTGGTATTCTGCCTTAGTTATGTGTCCCTCTTTCCATTTTTTATTCTTTGCTCAATTTACAGCTCATTTAGAAATCTGATGTAATGAAAATTCATATTTTACAACCAAATTATACCTAGCTCATTTCAGGACAGGCATACTTCTCTACCTCCAAACTTTCATTTGTGGGGGAAATTAATTGGCCCACTCATTCATCAAAGATTACTCCCTACCTCAAGTAACAGCAGACTTAGTATTGTGGTTCGGCAGCCGTGTGTAATAAACAAAAAAGAATAAACTGATTGCCTGTTAAAGGCCTATTGGGAAAATGCTGGTTGGTTCAACTTCTACATATAACAATTTCAAACTTGTGAATCAGAATAGAGCTGGAAGAGACCTTGGAGGTCTTCTAGTCCAACTCCCTGCTCAAGCAGGAGACCCTATATTATACCACTTCAGACAAGTGACTGTCCAGTCTCTTCTTAAAAACCTCCAGTGATGAAACACCCACAACTTCTGAAGGCAAGCTGTTCCACTGGTTACTTGTCCTCACTATTAGGAAGTCTCTCCTTAATTCCAGATTGCTTCTCTCCTTTACATTGTTTCTTGTCTTGCCTTCTGGTGCTTTGGAAAATAAGTTGACTCCTTCTTCTTTGTGGTAGCCCCTCAAATACTGGAATACTGCTATTATGTCCTCCCTAGTCCTTCTTTTCTCTAGACCAACCATACCCAATTCCTGCAACCATTCTTCATATGTTTTTGTCTCCGGGCCCTTAATCATCTTAGTTGTTCTTCTTTGCACTTTTTCCAAAATCTCAACATCTTTTTTGTAATGTGACGATCAAAACTAGATGCAGTATTCCAGGTGTGGGTTTTACTAAGGATTTATACATAGATACATACATATATACATACATACATACATTCATACATATCTCCTTACATATCTTTGTATTGATACTCTTCTTTTTGTTTCTTTGCTTGGTTTGCAATTTCAGATCCATACTTTTTTGAGAAATATCCACTTTAACAATACTGCTGCAGATGAAGTCTCTTTTGCAGATAATGAAATGAAATATGCAGGATTTGATATTCTCAACTGGGTCATCTTTGCAAATAATACGATCCTTCGACAGAAAGTTGGATGGGTTGATCTGGAAGTTCCTTCAGCTGCAGATTTTAGCATCGACCCTGATGCCATTGTGTGGGCTAACCAGGTAAGGCAGGGGTGTCAAACTCAATTTCATTAAGGGCTGCATTAGCATTACGATTGCCCTCGGGGGGGCAGGTGGCTGTGGCCAGGGTGGGTGCGGTCTACTGAGTGGGCATGGATGGAGTGGGTGTGGCCTACTGGGTGTGGCCTACATCGTTCGCATCAAGGATGCCTGTGGGGGCCTAGGCAGGAGTGGGACAGATCTGAGGGTCTCTGGCAGAAGGGGGTGGGACCGGGGCAAGCGCCAAGGCATGATCAATTTCTTCATTCCTCACGAAGGATGAGACCTCCCCAGCATGCACCCAGGGGGTGGGGCCAACACAGCAGAGGCTGGTTCCTCGCTGTTTCCAGACGGCCTTGTGGAGCTAAGACTGAATGCGTTTCAGCATAGATGTCCACCACAAAATTGTACATTGGCTCCTGGCTGGCCTGGGCCAGGGCCAAGGCAGCGGGGGCCATTCCCTCACTGTTTCCAGGATGGCTTCGCGGGCCACATGAAACCATTTCGCGGGCCGCATCCGGCCCCCAGGCCTTGTGTTTGACATGTCTGAGGTAAGGAGTAGATGCTTCTTCCAGGATTAAGGAAAGCTGATAGAACAGGCTGTTGTGCTGAAAATTCTAATCAGAATTTGGAGGAAGGAAGAAGAGGGCCTCCTTTTATGCAGACTCTGAAGTCAAGCTGAACATTTCTAACTTCTCCATTTAAAGCTAAACTCACTCTCCTTTCAGACAAAGCCTTTCTCCCGTTGTGTGAAGCACTGCCTTCCAGGACAAACCAGAAAAGTTGCAGAAGGGAAGCCCACTTGTTGCTACGGATGTATTTCTTGCCCAGAAGGGACGATTTCTAATCAAACAGGCAAGTTGCTCAAGGACACCCTCAAGCAGGAATGAGGAGATATAGGAGAAAAAGAGAATATGAGTTAGCAGATCAGTTGAGAAACCAACACGAGTTAGTCCATCTTCCTAATGCAGCCTGCATTGATGACAATGTTGCAGCTCTAAAACAAAGTAAGATGAAATGGATTCTATCTTGGCAGACATCATGTTCGTCCTGAATGAAGAACTCAATGAATGAATGAATGAACCAGCAGCCACATTTAACCCTACAGTATAGTCAAATAATAATAATAATAATAATAATAATAATAATAATAATAATNATGATGATGATGATGATGATGATGATAAAGTTGGAAGGGACCTTGGAGGTCATCTAGTCCAACCCCCTGCTCAGGCAGGAAACCCTATACCATTTCGGACAAATGGCTGTCCAGTTTCTTCTTAAAAACTTCCAGTGTTGGAGCATTCACCAATTCTGGAGGCCGGCTGTTCCACTGGTTAATTGTTCTAACTGTCAGGAAATTTCTCCTTAGTTCTAGGTTGCTTCTCTCCTTGCTTATTTTCCACCCGTTGCTTCTTGTCCTGGCTTCAGGTGCTTTGGAAAATAGCTTGACTCCCTCTTCTTTGTGGCAGCCCCTGAGATATTGGAACACTGCTGTCATGTTTCCCCTCTTCCTTCTCTTCATTAAACTAGACATACCCAATTCCAGCAACCGTTCCTTATATGTTTTAGCCTCCAGTCCCCTAATCATCTTTGTTGCTCTTCTCTGCACTCTTTCTAGAGTCTCAACATCTTTTTTACATTGTGGTGACCAAAACTGGATGGAGTATTCCAAGTGTGGCCTTACCAAGGCATTGTAAATCTTACCTCTACCAGTCAGAAAGATTGCATTGCTTTTCTGCATGTTCTTCCTTTCCAGGTTTATCTTCTAAGAAAAAAATAAACATGACCATTTTCCATAAAGGGAAGAGATGGGAAAGTTACAAACAGCTTATGATAATTCCAGGGTTTTGCACAGTAGGGTTTGGAAAGTATTCATAATGACATTGTTCAAGCTTAATCAATCTACTGAAACATAGTTTGGAATGGTGAGGTTTACTTTGAATCCAGAATAGCTCCCTTGGCTCTGATCAAGGCCATTTTCTTCCAGTGTTATATTTAAAGGTACACATCCAGATGTCTCTACCTAAAACACAGGCAGAAGAAACACATCCTTCATTCAACATTGCTCTCCTCTGCTGCCACTGCTATGCAAACGCATGTGTGGAAAAATACACTTGGCAATTTCTCTCACACTGAAAGCCTCAGTATTCATGGAAGTTGCCAATGACTGGTCTTTCTTTCCAGGGCAAACTGACCAGGCCAACTGGAGCTGAACAGAACCTTGTCTCTGGCTAACTTATTCTCAGGGTCATCATCAATGAAGGATTTTCTTTCTTCGATGTCCATAACATGCTCAGTGGGACAGTCAAAGTACTCTTGAGGGAGGGATAATGCTTATGGCAAAAGCTCCCGAAATCCTTAGACAAAGTCTAAGAACTTTCATCTTATCACTTTATCTTGGTTTCAGATGCAGCTCACTGTGACCCCTGCCCAGAAGACCAATATCCTAACAAAGTTAAGGACCACTGCATTGCCAAGAAGATCCACTTTCTTTCCTATCAGGACACTCTGGGATATGTTTTAAGTTCTCTCACACTTACTCTTTCAATGATCACCTTGGGAGTTCTGGCAATTTTCCTTAAGCACCGTGACACACCAATTGTCAAGGCCAACAACCGAGATCTCACCTACATCCTCCTGGTCTCCCTCCTGCTCTGCTTCCTCTGCTCCTTCCTCTTCATTGGTCGACCCAGGAAGCTTACCTGTCTCTTCCGACAAACTACCTTTGCCATTCTCTTTTCCCTTGCAATTTCCTCTGTCCTGGCAAAAACTGTCATGGTGGTTCTGGCCTTCATGGCCACCAAGCCAGGGAATAAGACAAGGAAATTCTTAGGAAAACCACTGACCAACTCCATTGTTTTAGCCTGTCCCCTGGTCCAAACAGTTATTTGTGCCATCTGGCTGATAACTTCTCCCCCATTTCCCAACTTGGATTTCCACTCCTTGGTAGAAGAGATCATCTTGGAATGTAATGAAGGCTCAACTTCAGTGTTTTACACTGTCCTCACCTACTTGGGTTTTCTGGCCTTTGTCAGTTTCACAGTGGCCTTTCTGTCTAGGAAATTACCCGACAGCTTTAATGAAGCCAAATTCATTACTTTTAGCATGCTGGTCTTTTGCAGTGTTTGGATCACCTTCCTCCCCACCTATCTGAGCACCAAAGGGAAGTCCATGGTGGCTGTGGAGATCTTCTCCATCTTGACCTCTGGCGCTGGTCTCTTGGCTTGCATCTTTTTCCCCAAGTGCTACATTATCCTACTGAGGCCTCATCTCAATTGTAGAGAAAATATGATAAGAAATAAAAATCTCTAACTAATGCTACATTATTCTACTTAGGGGCGATCTGAATTGTAGACATAATACAATGAGACACAACTTCTGATTTATGCAGGGATTGGGAACTTATTTTGACTTTGAGATATTTTTGTATTTCATCTGATTTCTTAAAATGATGAAATGAGAGAGAAACTTCTCTATAAAATAATTGGAAATTAAATAATGTGACTGAACACAAAGTACTGTATCAGCAACAATCACCCTTGTATTTTTCACTTACTCCTATTGTCCTCAGTTAGGCCAATGGGGGGTATGCAGGGGAAGTTTTAAGGGCCTTAAAGCTCCTGAAAGCCCACACCTAGTGTGAGATCCTAGGAGAGTGGGTGTGTTAGGGTAGATATTTTCAGCTTCTCACCCAGAGTGAGAGTTGAGTGGAGGGTTTTGGAATTGATCTGCCCTCCCCTCAGTGGTGGGATTCAGCTAGTTTCCACCACTTAGGCAGAACCGGTAGCTAATTATTTGATGCCCAGGCCCAGAATGGACTTCTGGAAGCACCATCCACACAGATAACTGGTTGTTCACCTATTTGAACCCCACCACTGCCTCCCCTCCCAGCTGGACAGTGAGAGGGACCAGCTTAGAATTGAGGATGCTATATATGTTGGGGAGTGGAATGGAGTAGAGGATGCTTAGAGCTTGAGCTAAAGTGTTCATCAGGATTGGTTGATTGGTTGAAAGGTACATATGTTGAGATAGTAGAAATGAAGTTCAGGCCTCAGCAGATCCTTGAGGCCATGGAAAGTTCCACAGGAAACCACAATCCTGTAGGTTAGGCATGTGACCAAAACCACAGAAGACATGCTTAAGTATTTTTATAACATCTATACCTTATACTTTTGTGTGCCAGCTTCCTTTTATGTAACTAAGTAAAAGCAAAGAAATATCTATATCTATATCTATATCTATATCTATATCTATATCTATATCTATATCTATATCTATATCTATATCTA